TTTCTCTCTCTCTCTCCCTTTCTCTCTCACTCCCTCAATTTGTATTCAATTATTTAGTTTCAAATCATTTTAAAGAAATGTAAAATTTTCTTAGCTTAACTAGTTTTTACAAATTTTCGAGCTATTAAATTCTAGATACCTTATTGTTTTCAAATCGGAATTAATAATCCCAGATTTTGCAAGCCATTAAATACTTATAAAAATTAATCATATTATCTATTAGTGAATGTATTATTTTTCACAAATGACCATTTCTCTTTCTCGCTCTCTGCCTATCCATCTCGCTCTCTGCTTTTCCATCTCGCTCTCTTCTTCTTTGACTCTTAAAAAATTCTGCTAGCACAGAGACGAAGGTCAGCAGAGCAATTTTGTTGGGTACACTCAACGCTTTTAGGTCTGTCCTAAACCATTGAACATTCTGCCAAGCAACGACAACAACAGCAACAACAAAAGCCTCAGCATCTGGCATCTGCAGCAGTTCTTTTTCCCTTTGGCTACGCAGCCTACCCCTTTCAAATAATGGCCCCGGAAAACAGACAGGCAAAGCCTTTGCCAAAATGTAGCATTTACTAAAAATTTCAAATCAGAAAATAAAATGCTGACAACAATGAGAGAAATAAAGGGATGATAATGAATTCGCGCGCGTCCATTTGACAAAGCTGCGAGGCTGAGTGCCTGAGGAGTTGCGGGGTTGCGGGCTGCAAGGATGTGCCTGAAATGTGAACATTTACCTGAAAGTCAATCTCTTTCAGAGAATCTCTACTAGAGTGACCAACTGACCAACTGACCTCTCGCAACATCTTAAATAGCCGCACGTGCCACAGCTGAAGGGCTCTGCTGACAGCAATAACACAAACAACAAACAAAAACAATAACAATGCAGGTTAACACTTTGTACTGGTCACTGAAGTCATTTTAGGGGTTAGCCTAGCTGGACACGCGCTACATTTACATAAATGCACAAGCACGCAAAACATTTTCCTTTTTTCCCCGAAAAAACTAAAGTGGTAAATTTGGGTAGCCACAGTGTCCTTGTTTTGGTGGTCAACGGCAAAATCCTATACCGATTTATAAAAACGAGTTTTCATAAAAAACTGTGTGAAAACTCAGTTCATAATTAAGCAGTTAAACTTAAGCTTCTCCCGATACAACATACAAATTTTCGCATAGAAAATTTTCTCAAAATGAAAAGCTGTCGGTACTTTTCTATCTTTAACCCATATTTTCATTGAAACCTTATACTGCCATCCATCAAGATTGCGCGCGCGAGTTTCCGCAAATATTGTGAGGAAATGGAAAAGTTCCCACAGTGCGAAAATTTACTGGCGATCAAATAACCCAACAAAATAGAGTCGGCCAGGTATCAAAGGGTGCAAATAAAATGGCAAGAGCAAAAAGGTTTGGGTCCGGGCTCAAATATGTCACGTCTTATGATGTCAGTTTTGCACATACACATGCACACACAGACACAGATAGTCATCATTTGCAGTGCTTGATCCTAGATGCCTGATCCTTGGTGCTCATTCCTCATCCTGATCGGGTTCACAGTAAATTACTCACAGAGGTGAAATGCAAACAATAAGAAACACGTCTGCTCTCTGAATGCCTTGACGGTCTTTGGCAACCCTTGCCCAAGTATTTCTTTTTTTTCCACTTTTCCTCTTTTTTGTGACGAATTTAATGATTTTTTCCCTCAAAATTGAATTGATTTTTCATTGAACCGAAGCGGGGTTGGTCATAGATCGTCTTGGGGTTTTCTTTGCCCTTTGTTTTGCTATTTGAACTGCTGAATGCATTCACCAGCTTATCGAGACCCCTGGCCCTGACCAGGTTTCGCGGGTCAATGTCGCATTAGGCCTAAATTTATGGCCTCTGAGTAGCAATAGTAATGCAGATTAATGAGCTAGGAGCATCAAAAGTTTTTCGACTAAGAACTAGGAACTACAAAACGTGATTCTCTCTGCTGTAATATATCTTTATTACATTTTTAGTTTAATTGTTTTTAAGTTTTCGTTGGTAGATATAAAACGTTTATAGTATTCAAAACTAATTTAATTTAATTTCCAATTTTAGTGCCACTATTTGTAAGGATCAATTGCATTCATATATTTTTAGTGATCAACTTAAGAACTAAAAATAATATATTTAGTACAAACATATTAAATTTCCACATGATATTTATAAAATTTTGTTTGAAATATGTTTTTAATACGTTTATATAAACTCTAAATTTTTGTGTTTTATATTTTTTCAATAAATATTATTTACATATTCGTCACATATTTAGTTTAGAGGAGATAAAATTAAAAATATATTGACGATAATCATATTTTATATTAAAAGCAAGCAAGAACGTTGCAGTACGGAGCTACATTTATAAGAATGTGTGATATAGATATTTCTGATTTTCAAATTAGTATATGTATATGTCTGTATATAAATATACAATATTTGTCCAATGAATCCGGTTTGGCACGCCACTATTGTGCAAATCGGTACAATCATGACTGCCAGTTAGGAGTACATACGACTACATATTCCAAATCCAAAATATCCTTTAACTTCGATAGCGGTCAAATGATTTCAGTTCATACGGACAGACAATACAAACTTAACATAACTTAAGAAATTCAATGATATATAATATTTCTATTCCCAAAATAATAATCATTTTTAAACCAAAATGCGGGAATATGAAAAGTAATATTTATAAAATCTCAAATCACAGGCAAAACAATTATAGAAAAATTATATAAATACAATGTTATCAATCATTTAGCCATAATACGTGACCGTTACAACGCGTTGGTTTGTTGATTACAAAATATAAATTTAAGAGAAAAATACGGTACTGAGGAAACACAAGCTCTGTCGAAAATAATATGATGCTAGATTTATATGCATATTTTGGGTGTAGAGCACAATATGATGACCCAAAATTATAAAGTTACAACTGCAACCCTTCTGCTACCCCCGATTGAATTACATATGGACCAGAGAATAGCGCACCAAGGACCTCTGGACCATGGCTAGGATCGACCCCTGGACAACATCAGCATCATCAGCATCCGCGCAGGATTGTTACGTTTGTCAACTTTGTGCACCCCTTTAGGGTCATGCATAGTCAAATTTGAATTGACCAAACAAATCCCTTCTAATTTCAGTCGGGTTGCTGCTGCTGTTGTTGTTATTGTTGCTGCTGCGGCAGCGCACAGGCGCAGAAGATTTAACGCCGGACGCTGTGCAGCCTTTGGACAAAAGGTAAACGGGTTTTGAATTTCATATGCCACGCATGCACACTGCATGTTCCTAGGTATATCTGTGTATGTGTGTATGACCCATCTATCAGCGGAAGCTGCAGTGCAGCTAAAACTACAAGTCATTTGAAATTTTTAATAGACGTTACATCCTTTTGTCGACAAGAAGCAAAATAATACGAATAAAAATAAAAATTTAAAAAAAAAACTGGTTTCCAATCGTGAAAGCCCTAGTCCATACTCGTTGGTCCAAGACCCAACCCCTTAAAATACATTTTTATTTAAATTCTCTCCCTTGCGCGTTGCATAGCATCCTTTATTAAAAAATGTCTTGCGTAGCAGGATATATATTTTTTTAATTTTCACAATTTATTTTCAAAAATTTATCTCTTGCCTCACACTTTAGGACAGTGTACTTTTTGAGATTTATGAGCAATTTCGGAGATGGATATTTCGAAAACAAAAAATATAATATCACTCTTGCACTCTTAAATTTTAAGTGAGTCATGCGATGGTCACTTTCGAATCTAACCCTTGCAAATAGCTCAACTGACCGTTGGCCCAAGGTCGGACTCGCACTCAAGTCACGTGTTCCATCATTGGCATAATTTGTTAAGCAATCATTTTCTCTACCCCTTCTACAGAAGGGGTCAACAAAGATGGCACACGCTCTTCTGATGACAATGGCAAATCGGAAATACACGCAGACTGTTAATACCCACATACATTAATTACTTTTGCTTTGTTATGTAAATTGTGCAAATTATATAAGGCTCTAACAGCTCGAGTCCGTTGCAGCGGTAGCCGATTCAAACATTGCATTCTCAATATAATGAATTTAATAATTCCGGCACTATAAATCAATCCAGGTGTCTGCATTTCCTATATTTGGGGGTTGCTCTTGATAATTTACTCATTGCAAAACATTTGAAATATGTTACTGTATTTATTAAAACATTTAATTATTAAAAATTTTCATAATATTCATTACTACATCTTTAAAAAAAAACTTTTAGCTGAAGCGATTATAGTCCATAGAATATACTCAAACACTTGAATCTGTTCTTATCAATTTCCTTTAAAAATAACTAAATTATATTGTCATTAATTAATAACAGAGGAAAAATCGTAAATTTAGTGTCTCAACCGAACTGTTATTAAATTTCAAAAATTCGGAATTGTTCTTAACTGTTATAGGGCTCAGTAGGCTACACCACTGTTAAAAGGCTTAGATCCCCACCCAGCATTTTTGAGTTTAACAGAGCATAAGTTAGTCTTAAAGGACTCGCGCGACGATTGAAAATAGTCATATTTGCGCTCATTTTCTGATCATAAAAGACTGTTCTGTCGGGAGAAAATGGTACCCTAGCCGCGACTCTTCTTGATTCGCTTATGACTCTTTTTTTAATCATAAAAAAAAATCTTCCACGAGTCATCTTTTAATCATAAAAGTGTCTTTCACGAGTCATCTTTTAATCAAAAAAGAGTCTTAATTTAATCATTTCTGACTCATATTCGAATGAAATTTTCAATAATTTGCAACCAAACAAATTTTTGTATTAATGTACTTTTCATTTACTATATATATATGTATATTATCTTAAAAAATAACAACAAAAAAGTAAATAGATATTCAAAACAAAACATAGAAATTCAAAAAACAATATAACAAAAACAGTAATAGAAATTCATAACATTTAACATAAATAATTGAAACAATGTAGATAATAACAAAAATATTTACAATATTATTTACATGTATGTTTTATATTACTCTAAACGCCTACGCTTCGCCAGCCTGTCATTGGCATGGACAAAATGCTTTTGTAGCTCCGTATTCAAATCTTTGTCCGTGCATTTATATTTTTCATTAGTAATATCTAAAAAGGAAAATATTAATTAATGAAAATAATATATTATAAGCCTCTCTTTTGGCCACGCGACGCAATTGTTTAACTGACATAATCACCTTTTTATTTGATATGTTTATGTATGTTTGCACTTCGCACTTGCACTTCACGATCGAATGACAAAATTTAAACATTTCGGCATGTGCTTAAGAAAAAGTGCCGTTTAACTTACATAGATCTAAGCTTAGAATCGTTTTTGGATCAGCCAAGCAAGCAGAATATAAGTGCATAGTAACAAAGCAAAACCAAGCAATGATCATATTTTAATCACCTGCATGCTCATTTGGCGATTGCTTTGCATTTCGTTTTTGTATTTGAAAGCAATCATACTTTGAGCATATGGAAGGGTCATTTATGAGTCTTCTTTCAATCGCCCAGGAGATTAGTCGTTTTTTAATCGTCAAGGGGACTCAAAAAACACTTATCAAGATTTCTGTTAAAACAGTCTTCCAAATGCTTGCTGGGGAGCTGCTTTGCACGTTTTATTTTGTCTACTGTAAGATAGATAACAATGTAAAAAATGCATGAATTTTCTAAATACTTAACATACCGCTTTGCATAATCTACTCAACCGGGGACTACTCCGCGACATCAGGTCAGTCGTGATAGTGATGCTTTACGATTTAACAGTTATTTTATGTAAATCGGTCTGTTAAGCTAACAGTGTATATTTCGGATAAAGGCGCATGCGTCCAAATGATTCAAAATTACTCTGCTTAAAGCAATTCATATTTGTGTTCGATGCCGTTATTGCTCACACAATGTTACGGCCGAATTTATTAATCTTTATTTAATGAGGTATTTATTGCCCTATTTTCAAACGTGTTGATTTGAAATATTATTATTATTTTAACCCATAGAATTATATCTATACTACTTGTTAATTTTGAAAAAACCGTTAATGGTATTTAATCCGATTAGGATTAGCTGAGGATTGGGATTGTAAAGCATAACAGTGTTAAAACCATTTTCGTTAACCATTTTCCGAAAGTATAGTGTCATACCGTTAAATTAATAGACCGATTTTCTACTGCAAGAAAATATACTAAATGCGCCAAAGTAGAAATACTAGAATTGGTCTACTTTTACCTCAGCAACTACAGCTGTTATTCGACCATCTCGAAGAGTTATCGATAGTGCACGTCTAACAAATTTATCGTAAATAGTTATCGGAGCCAAAATTGATTTTGAAAATTTTTGAAAATTATACAAAGTTTTTCAATGTTAAATCCATGGACTTGGTAGAAAAGTATATATAAGTATATATAAGTCATTAAGAAATTTTGAGACAGTCAAATTACAAGTTATATAATTTAATAATAGACTTCGGCGGAGCAACGAAAAAAAACCCAAAAAATTAAACTAAACTTTTTTCATATATCTTTATCCAGGGAAGTAGACTAAACTTTATGATAAGACCAGCAAATGCTAATGGAGCAAAAGACACTGGCCACACAGAAGCTTATAAATTTTACATTATTACGTATTTGTGCGTATTTACGTATTACTTTTCCTGATGAGCAACACATCGCGATCGGCTCATTTTTAAATTTAAAGGCATGGCAGTGCGGGCATTCTTTGTCCAATGTACCAATGACCACTTTGGAATGTGCTGTAAACTCAATGCACTTGTTGACGCTGTCGGTCAATTCCTTTATGGCTGTTGACTACGAATCTGCGCGCTTCTCTTCGTTCTAATTGTCTTTGCTGGTTTCGCTCATCTCGTGCCTCTTGCAATTGTGATGCACGTAACTGCGCCATGCTTACACGGACATATGTATTGCTTTGTTGCCTTTCTTCATCTGATATTTGTGCTCTTCTATCTTGCATGCTTCTAGATTTGAGTGTTCGACGACTCAAACTATCCCCTTGCGTTTTTGTTGCATTGTTGTCTGGTAATCAAACATAAATTAATCAAGTTAAAAAACTGTTTAGTGATAAACAGTATTGTATTCGATTGCTCATTATTTGCCTTACCTTTTATATTAATAAAATACGTATATTTATTAATCACGTTCGCGTATTAATAAAATGTGCATGAAAAATTTTTTTACATGAGAGCATGACCGAAAACTGTCACTGTTATCAAGCCTACTGAGTAAATTCTCAATGACAATGCAAACCCTCTCAATAGCAATAGGGAAAATAACAAATTTTTCAAGTATTCATCAATTTTTCAGTATTTTTATGATATATTCTGCTATTCGGGGCGGAGAGAAATCCAACAAAACAAAAACCATGCAAATTGGTCCAGCAGATCTCGAGCTATAACAAACCCGACTTTGGTTTATATATAGATTATTGGAGCTTACCTCCTTCGTGAAGGTTATTTTTAGCTTAAAAAAACAAGACATATGTAAAACTGATGCTGATACATCATACATGCTGATACATGCTGATACATAATTTTATAACCTTTAGTTTATTACAGTTGATCACAGCCAACAAAAAAAAGTCGGTTATAGAAACATTAGACCATAGATATAAACACTTCTGGTTTTCCGCCTTTGGGACGATGGAAAATGTATAATAAAAAATCTGAGATTGTTTAAGAACTATAAATTTAATTAATTAAATGCTTACAGGCATCAGTAATTACAAGTTGTTATTTAATCATAATTATATTAACAGCGTTCACTTCTAGTCTACCGTTTAATCAAATCAAATCACAATTTTTTTATTTTGGAAAATGTTAAATAAATTAAATAATTTGTATGATATATACAAAAATTATATGAATCTTGTGGAATAATGGATATGAAAAATATTATATTTCAAAATTTATTAAAATGAAAATCGAATAAAATAAAATTTCCGTTTACGCTCCAGTTCATATATCTTAAAACTTTGATCTATTTACAAGTATCTACAAACTATATATACATAAATATTTCTAAATTTCATATTCATACATATGTAGACGTAGATGTGAATTAAAAATTCACTTGAGTTTAATAATTTAATTTATATAAATATCAACAAATGTTAATAGCTTATAGATAATGATCCCATTTGCCCAATACAGCGGCCTTCTTCATCAAAGGTGGCCAAAGTTAATCGAGACAGCTTATTACACAATATTCCATTGCCTGTGCTTTGAATAGGGTTCGGCTCTAAAAAAGAGAATGTATTTTTATTATATTAGCAAAGGCTCAATCAAGAATTAGCAACTTGGAGCAATCCAATCGGGACGTTGTGGTAAAATATGCAAAAAATTAAATAACTTATCTACAAACATTTACAAATATAAACAGATTTCCGGAAGCTTTTCCGGATACCACAGGCCGCTAAATATTACGTGATCACTTTAAAACAATTCTATTCTTACTTTAAAATTTAGGTTCGTCTTTAATAATACTAATTTGCAATAATCTTAGATATATTTCAATTTCAATTTTTCTTAGCAATGTGGGAAGACTAACTTACCATCATGGCATTGCTCAGTCGAACCTCCTTCTTGTTTTCTTTTACGCATTTGCCCAGTAAAATGGGATATAAGAGCATCAATCATAGCAGCTTGCTTTGAAAACACTTGAACAAGCTTGGATATCTGTACTCCATTTTCAATAGCGTCAAACTAAAAAAATCAATGGTCATTTGTTTTCAGATTGCATACACAATTTTAAACACAAACCTGCAAGAATATACATGTAAGACACTCCAAATCATCACTGGCACTTGGCTTAGCATAATCCCATGACAAATCTTCATATCGGAGACCCAATAAGAGAGTCTATGAATATATGAAATATAAATGTTAATACAAATAATAATATAACCCAACTTAACAAAATAATAAATATTTTGAAAAAAAAAAGAAAATGTGGGTATTATGTATTTGTAATAATTATTTATACTCATATGTAAACATATGAATAGGCTTATATAGAAAATAGTACATTACATTTTCGAAGCAGTCAATAATAAAAACTCCTCTTTCGTTGACAGCAATTAATACTTCCATATCCTTATGGTTAACTAAAGACATAATTCCTCTCACTGGCTGTTCTATTTGTCCATGGAAAAAGGCCGCCCTGTAATTAAAAATATACATATGTACATATTGAAACTCAGTCTTAAAATATGAAAAAAAAATAGCATGTTAAAAATTAATCCTTATATTTTCGAATTATCGAATGTTTGAAATATAAATGGTTCGAAATTTTAAGAGAAAATAAATAAAACTTCGAATTATCAAGGTTTTTATTTAACGTAATGTACATATGTTCTTAACTGACACCGTTGCCAAAGGTTCTGATGTATCGTCTTCATCTTTATCGATGCTCTTTTCATTCGTATCTGTCGCAGATAAAATTTCATCATCGGTTAGGAATCCTGAAATATCCACTTGAACATAGTCTTTTGCAACTTCGCTTTTCTTCTCACCTCCTTCTACTTTTCCAATTAGTTTCTTCTTTTCAGCAATCGTAAATTTTTATACTTTTTAGGACTCATTTAATAAAAAATTTTAATATGTATACTAACGAAGCGATTCGTGCGGAAGCGAGCATCAAAATATGCCTATGTTTTATGCGTAACACGCAACAACGCACAGTAAAATTAGTTTCAGGGGAGTCCCAAAATTCAAATTAAAAGTTCTTACTAACACACCAAGAAACTTCACAAATTCGAATTGTCGAGTGTTTAACCATATGAGTACAAATTACCGCGTCTTAGCAATGATTTTTTAGTTCGAGTTACTGAGTGCATAAAAATGTATGGACTTAATTCGAAATATAAAGAGATTTTGTAGGGGACTCGTGATAACTTTGAATTAATAATTGGTTCGAAATAACGCAGGTTTGAAATAACAAGAGTCGACTGTATATAAGATCCATCACTGCATTATTATTAACTATTATTACTGCACTATTATATTATTATCGAGGAACTTGAGAAAGAAAATGATAAACTTTTTACTACATTACATCATTTATTGCTTGTGAGATTCCTATCTCTATACGGATAGACAGATGGCATTGCTATATCAATTAAATTCGTCATTCAGATTAGTAATATATGTGTTTCGGATGTGTTACGCCCTTGCCTGTTTTATAAATTTTTATTGTTTTCAATGAATTTTCAACTCAAACTATTGATAATCAAATTTGATTTGTGCGAATGTACTCACCCATAAAATGGCAATGCCCAGCAAAACTCCAAATATTTTCGCATTAATTTCCGGGTTGTGGCAGTCTGTGGCACCCGCTTGAATTGTTCTAAAAGTTTGATTTCGGCTGAATTCTTTTGGCTTATTGGCAACCACAACCAGCTTGAACTTTTCGCAACATGTTTTGGTAGAAATCTTGATTGGTTTTCTCTAAATATTTAATACTTTAGTAAATTGTTAAGAACATTTCATTTTGAGTCTCACCTAAAAAACCCCACAGTGTGGGTGTGGGGGTTATACGGTCCCAGCTCAATTCTAGCTTGTATACCACCTAACATTAACGAATGCACGGGCTCCATAATATATCTTCCATTTAGTACGCAATGCTTTGCTTCTTCATACAGCAGCTCTAGAATCCGATGATCCCTGAATTTGTTTCGCACATAAGTTTGGTTTTTTATTGATCCAAGTGTCTCGACTTACTTGATTTTCTCCTCATCCCGCTTAGAAAAAAATACATTTCGCTTAAGAACTATCATAGGTTCATCATACTTTCTTTCGATCGGATTGCCATTGCTAAATTTTTCCAGCAAGCTAGACCAGGCTACTCGAACAATATATGGACAATGATGCGCCTTCAATTGCATTTCCAGTAGACTACTTGTCATCCATAGTCCAAATATACTTTGAGCTAGCAATTTGTTAGAAATTCCCAATTCTTCGCATCCAAGTGCAGCTGCTAGCATTACTTGAGAGGGACACTGGGCAGTACCTTCAATCTCCATGTGCACGGCGACTCGTGACATCAAGTATACGCAAGTCGGAATTACCTAGTACATTCATAAATCATTCTATAGAATATCTTAATGATCAAATGAAGAACTCACATTCTGAAGAGCGCGGGTAGTCGCCGCATTTGATTTCCCAGCACTAGAGTAGGCGGAAGAAGAATTAACACCAACAGTTCGTTTTGATATTATGGGGTTTTTTGCACCATCGTTGTTACTGTATTTCTGTTGAGCTGGTAAGCAATTTGTCATACCTTTAAAAAAAAAAAATTATCCAGCTGCTTACTAGTTCTATTAAATTACATTACCGGATGAGCTTCGTACTCCAGTCGGTGGTCCGAGTGAATTGCCGTTAGTCACGATATTGCCGCCGAGGTCTGAAATATGCAGACCACTGTGACAAGTGTCGTTGGCCGACATGGACATAGCTGAAGTCACTTGTGCTGATGCCATGCAGTCACTCTCATTTCGACTCGCACTGACAACGCTAGACACGCTCGCAGAGGAAGCAAATGTGCTTCCGGCAGCTGTCTGAATTTGAGCTGTTGTCACCACACGATGCACCGTATACATTACAGGCGGTACAGGCACATTGACGGGAACCAATGACACTGGTGTATGGGAGCTCATTTGTTCACATGACGCCACATTAGCATTATTCATATGTGTTTGAGTAGCGGCTACAACGCGGCCATTTCCAGTTGTATTTGAGTATAGTGCACAGTCAATGCCATCATCGATCGCTTCAATCCCTGAGCTCGGGCTGCATGCAGTGGTTTGCTGATTACTCTGTAGCTGATGGCTGTGAGTATTTTGATTGATGTGCAATTGATGCTGAGCGTGTTGATGATTTGGTGTTAACTGTGGCATTGGCTGCTGAGACGGAGTTTCGTTACTACATTTTACATTATTCCCCAGATAGTAGTCTTCACGACACTTAACATCCGTGGTGTTGTAGTAGAGGCGAGAACTGTCAAAAAAGGCGAACTGAAACATTTTCTATATGTCGAATCAAATGCGTCGACTTACTGATAATCCTGGGATACTGACTTCTTTCGATTATACTGCAAAGTGCCCATTGGCACAGTCATTACATTTATATAGTTTCCTGCATTATTCGAATTATTACATTGACTACTGCTATTGCAGTTAGAAAACGTATATGGACTACCCAAGCTTCTGTTTGCTATTTGCGATTTACTGTTGCTTCCATTTTT